CAAGTGTTTCCTAAATTATCCAATCCAATTTTCTTCTCTAGATTTTCAGGACAACTCTCTACTGATTCGTAAGGAAGAACACGTTTCACAGAATCTCCATAAGAACCATTTCTCAAGCTGCGATCGATCCTTCCAAGTGAAGAAGGGTTTCGTAGAGGGATCGATTCGGCTCTTGCTTCATGAAGCTCTTCCATTGAAAGGGAACCAGAACTACGAGGACTGCAACTCATATTTGGGGAGCAAGAATGACCTGAGTCCACTGACCGCACTGAAAAAGAAGGAGGTGGATCAATCACTTGTGAATTAACCTTGATAGGAGACTGATGAATATCGACATATCTCGGCTTGTTTCGAAGAGGTTTCAGTTCCGTACTGAAATTAGGGCAATGCATGATCTCATCAAAATTATGTGAAGGAGGAATATTTTCAAGGACCGAAGCAGCATTGCCACGTTGAATAGCAATATTAATTCTTTATATCAAAAAAGAGGTAGAACGGTGATCTTTCGTTGCTTGGCCTATTCTCCTTCCGAGTTCATGAACGAATAATAGAGACTCCGGGCCATAACACCAAAAGTTTCAACCGCTACTGGATGGAACAGATAGTTGTTTCCAAGACTGTGGTATTTTTTTCTTTTCAATTTCTTGCCAGACAATGCTGCAGATCCAGCAAACTTCGAATTTCCGGCTAAATGGGAAGCCGCGACCGTGTCAACGCAAGTGAAGTCCTTTGATGTTATAAAAGTCTATATTTGTACTCAAACATTTTTTTAATTCAGAATCCCAGTATTTTTCAAACAAAACATGAAATCAAAATACCTCACTACATAAATTCAAATTATCAAATGATAACTAGAACTAGTCACGTTGATACAATTGGAATTGTGTACAAGAAATTGAATTTAATATTTCAAAAGTCCCAGATCAAATTCTATATGGCTTCAATGCCATAAAACGTCTGAATTTTCAGAAATCTTCATATATATTCATATCAAAAAGGTCCATATCAATTGATTCAAAAGATTGAATTAAATTCAATAATGAAAATATTAAATATTCTCCTAGTGCTAAACTTCTTGGTCTTATTCTATCATGACAACAACACATTGAAATAATGAGAAAATAATGAATTCCCATAATTGGAATTTTATTCGAAATAAAAAACGTTGTACCCCTAAAATACCTTGAATTGATTTATTTTTCATTACTATACTCCAAAATTCAGTATGGGAAATTTATGATGCACTGTTTGGAACCCTTGGTGTAGTAATGAATATTACTGGAGTTTTTTCCCAACAACAAATCGTTATTTTTAACACCTCGACACCTGTTTCGATCACCAAGTGATCATCTTCAAAGAAGAAGATTATACACTGTATAAACGATGCATATGGGATGTCGAGGTAACGTTGATTCTTCAATAATAGGTATTTTCTAAAATAAAAATTCGATTTAAAAAAATAGTTCTACAGTATTTTTGATATATTTTTGAACTACTTTGTGCTTCAAGGGATTGCAGACAGTTTTTTGTTCACACACATACAATTTACATGGATATAACGAGAGCACCGTACTGTGCTGAAATACATGCTACATTTAAAATACAGTGAGACATATCAAAAAAATAGAGATATAGAAGTGTCTTCTTTGAGTCATCCCTTTGTTAGATTCTTGTGCTTCACCCTGTTTGCAAATGTTTACCCTGTATGAAATATTTTGAAATTTTTATTCAATACTTTGAAATATCAGTTGTTCATGTAGTACTCAAAATATTTTTATTGATTTTACTCGAATTCTGTGATGAAACAAGCCAAAAGAAAATGACTGTACATTGAAAAACAATAGTGGATATACCTGAAAACTTTTGGATGGAGAAAAAAGTTCACATATATCAGACAGTTAAAAATGAATTGAAATAGTACCACAAGAACAAATACCACAACAAAATTCAGATGAAATATTCAACCTATCGGTAGAAAAAACTATGAAACGTGTGAAAACAGCTCTTCAAATTATTCAGGGTACACCTGAAAAAAAAAAAACAATTTGAAATTCTTGGAAAATAAAGTGGTTTTAAGGAATCTTCAATATGATTTTTTTTATTGAATGCTTCTAGTGAAGTTTGTTGCAGATTCCAATTCTATGCAGATCATTATTCAATAATCAAAAGTTAGGCTAACATAGGCTGGTGAAATCATATACTCGTATTTCAAACAGCTGTTTACGTACGGAGTGTATCAAAGATGCGTGGCTGGACGCTAGTTGCTTCCCTCGCATAAATATTGAGAGAGCTATGGAAGTTATGTCATAAAAACAATTACCAACATACCGGGTATTCGATAAACGTGTGACTTAGCAAAGTTGTGTTATTTTCAAGGAATACCTAATACATTTTTACTCAATTGAAATAATTTTTCTCAAAAATATGGATTTTTTTTATTCATGCTGGAGGGGTTTGGTAGTAATGTATTGTATATCAACGACTTATTGAAAAAAAATCCAATATATCGTTTCGCTGACGACAGCACACTTGTCTCGTCATTTCAAAAATATACGGACTTCAAAGCTGAAAAATAGTAACACCGAATCCAATTTGTAATATAAATCTCATCATCACTGAGGAACCTTTAGTTGTAATATAAAATAACACTCTGTTTTGGGAGCATCGTTTTGAAAAAAATTATTCGAAGTCATATAGAGTGTCTGATTTAAAAAACACAACATGTTAATTGGGTGCCTTGTATATTCGTTGTTAACATACCTTACATTACACTGTACAGAGTGTGCCAAATTGGACACTTTTGAAGAAAAATTTCTGTTTTCAAACTGTATATATATCTCAACTGAATCTGCTGCTGTATCTGAAGGTTAAATTTCCTGACAAACTCAACGGAAAAAACCGCATCTCGATATCTATCATCGTTTCTGAGTTACAGCATGTTTTTCGAAAAGGTGCATTATTGATATGAGATATCAATAGTTATTGATGGAAAACTATTTTTAAATGACACCCTGTGTATTCGTGCATATGTCAACAGAGCTTAAGAATTACCGTTCCTGAAATATAGCACACTTAATGCTTTGCTAGAGTCAGCTTTGAAATACAGAGCACACTTTAATCAAGAACGCTTTGGACGAAGCGCGACGTGGGGATAAAACAGAAAGAAATTGTTTAGTAGTAGCTATCAAAAATTGAGAAAGCTTTTCACAGCAGTGCTTGCAACGCATAGTTTCAATAAAATTGACAACAATTTATACTATATTTACTACTAATGAATGAAACGTCAGCAACAATAATAATAATGATAAAGAACAAACAATCAAATATATTTCTTCAGAGAAGGTGTTAGAAATGTATACTAGCTTCTTCTACATACAGGCGATACCTTTTCTGGACGTTTTTTGTCGAATTAATAAGTTCAATAGGAGTGCCACTGCCGCTTCCAATTCGTATTTGAAATTGGTCAAAAACTCAAAAATAAGATCTTTCAACCCTAGAGGTGGAAGTCCATAGCAGTTAGGTCCGGTGACCTTAGCGGCCAACGGTTGGTCCTTGGTTGGCTATTCAATTATTACCTCAATTCGCAGCCAAAAAATAGTAACAACACCTGCCCTTATACTGAAACCAAATCTTCCTTGACTTCTCTGCTCCACAATGGAATGAGGATTTTGTTGTGCTCAAGTATAAGAATTGTAGCGGTGGAAAATGCCGGCACTGCACACATAAGCTTCGTCTATTCAAATACAATTTAAAGAAAAGTCACGCACTTGCTTACAACTTTCCAGGAACCACTGACAAAAAGCCGTGGGGCATTCAAAATCTCTCAGTCTGAGTTGATGAACTCTTCTGGTCCTCTATGAGTTGAATTCAGAATGAGTTTTTTCAGAATCCTCCTATCGTTAGTTCTTGGCAGGCCTGTTGATATTTTCAAATTCCGCGTTGACGTTTTGGAATTATTTTCAAAAGCTCCTAAAACCACTATTTCTTCCAACTCCTTATTCCTATTTGATTCATATAATTTTGTTGTGTTGCAGTGTCGCGAAAATATCTAAAAAGTTTTCTTCTCTCCGGATACCTCTCGTGATACAGATTGTTTGCTGCATTTGCATTTTGCCCGGTATAAAACAGATTATTATATTCCATTTTTCATAATTCTCATATTTCATTGCGAATCTGTTTGAAAATTGAATAAAAACCACTAACTGAAGAGCGTCTTTACTGCTCAAACCAAAATTTGACAGCTGTCAGTAGAGATTTACATTCAGTTTTTACTGCGTCTTTAGTACTCAAACCAAAATTTGACAGCTATCAGTAGAGATATACATTCTGTTTTTACTGCGTCTTTACTGTTCAAACCAAAATTTGACAGCTATCAGTCGAGATTTACATTCTGTTTTTACTGCGTCTTTAGTACTCAAACCAAAATTTGACAGCTATCAGTAGATATATACATTCTGTTTTTACTGCGTCTTCACTGCTCAAACCAAAATTTGACAGCTATCAGTACATATATACATTCTGTTTTTACTGCGTCTTTAGTACTCAAACCAAAATTTGACAGCTATCAGTAGATATATACATTCTGTTTTTACTGCGTCTTTACTGCACAAACCAAAATTTGACAGCTATCAGTACATATATACATTCTGTTTTTACTGCGTCTTTAGTACTCAAACCAAAATTTGACAGCTATCAGTAGATATATACATTCTGTTTTTACTGCGTCTTTAGTACTCACAGCAATTAGCAGATATTTATATTCTATTTTTACTGCGTCTTTACTGCCCAAACCAAAATTTGACAGCTATCAGTAGATATTCACATCCTGTTTTTACTGCATCTTTACTGGTCGAACTAAAATTTTACAGCTATCAATAGAGATTTAAATTCTATTTTTACTTTTACAGCTCTCAGTAGATATTTACATTCTGTTTTTACTGCGTCTTTACTGCTCAAACCAAAATTTTACAGCTATCAGTAGAGATTTACATTCTATTTTTACTGCGTCTTTACTGCCCAAACCAAAATTTGACAGCTATCAGTAGAGATTTACATTCTGTTTTTACTGCGTCTTTACTGCTCAAACAAAAATTTGACAGCTATCAGTAGAGATATACATTCTGTTTTTACTGCGTCTTTACTGCACAAACCAAAATTTGACAGCTATCAGTAAATATTCACATCCTGTTTTTAACTGCGTCTTTAGTGCCCAAACCAAAATTTGACAGCTATCAGTAGATATTCACATTCTGTTTTTGCTGCGTCTTTACTGCTCAAACAAAAATTTGACAGCTATCAGTAGAGATTTACATTCTGTTTTTACTGCGTCTTTACTGCTCAAACCAAAATTTTACAGCTATCAGTAAAGATTTATATTCTGTTTTATCGCCGCATGCTCCAAAGCCTACTTGGGCATTTCAAAGTCTACATGAAAAAACCTAAAGGCTCTGTATTTCAAAGATGACTCTAGCAAAACATCAAATGTGTTACATATTTGGAAAGTTAATTTTGAGCTCTATTGAAATATACAGGAATATACAGGGTGTATATAATAAGTTTTTTACACCACTGAATCATACCTAAAATAATATTTCAAAAAGTTTTCATAGAAACAAAAAACAACTTTTCGAAAATGTACATTTTCGAAAAACATACTGTAACTCAAAAACGATGATAGATAACGATTTGTGGTTCTCACTATTAAGTTTTTCATGAAATTTAACCCTCAGACACAGTTATCAGTTTTCATCTATCTAGTTTGAAAAGAGGAGTTTCCCTTTGAGAGTGTCCAGTTTGGGCCACTCTGTACAATTTTTTTTATTTTGTATATCAAACAGGAAAGCAGCTATCATTTAGCTAGGCGTCGATGATACACCCTGTATTTTAAATGAATTGGATAAAGTTCACATCAAAAGTTCAACAATTCTAGGAGAGTCCTTTCAGCGTCGCTGACCTTGAGAAAACTCGCCTGAAAGCTTTTAGTGACTGACCCTGATCTCTTTCACGTTCCACCTCACGCAATTAAAAAGCTACACACGACGAACCCGTATTCAAATATGTCGTTCCCGGCCTCGCTTTCGCCGCCCCCGACAAACATCCCCCCAAAGACGATGTTGACCGTGGCCCACCCAAGCGCTCGTTTCCTTTATTTACGTTAAAGTCATAAGTCAACCTTTTAGAGCCTCGTCATGTCCGTCGACTTCCTGTGGCTACTGTGACCATTAACGACGTACACCCCAGCACTATCGACTGCCCCCGTGTAGCGGTAGTTGCTCCAGCGGTTGGCGTGGCGGCGGTGCATCTTGCGGTGGATGAAGCCCTTCAACGTCTGGATCACGTCCTGGTTCGCGAAGCAGAACAGGCAAGCGCAGCAGAGGCCCTGGAACGAGAAGGAAACTAGTAAACTGGTGTTGACCGCTTCTGTGTTCTTTAATGCGTGTTTTGAATGATCTTCCAGTTTGGCCTCCTTACATAAGAGGCATTAGTTCAACCATTTTTAAAAGATAGTTTTGAAACTTAACCGTCTGGATAGTATGGAAATCAATAAGTACCAAATTTTACAAAAGCTCAAGAACGATCCAATTGAGTTCAATTACTTCCGGTTACTCAATATGTTCTTACCATAAAATCATTCTTTGTCACCCTAGAATAATGAATATGAAATTCTACCATTGGATAAGTATTTTCACATTTTTTACCCGTATTTACCTGCTTTCCCAACTTTAGTTATTGTTAAAATTGACTTAAAAAAATATATATTGAATGTTGTAAAAATGGAAATGAACATCAGTTGCTGAAAATTCTGTAGTAACCTTTGATGCTTTGTTTCATGTTTATTAAAACAACGATAAAAATAAAAACAACAATAGAAATTAATTATCGCTCCGGGGCGACTTCATTGATTCCAGTGGCGCATTTGCTTTTTCAGCTGCAGGAAAACCCGGTTAAACCTGCAGCACCACATCATCTGAAGATCTTAATCTAACAATGTCCTCTCTCTTATAATACAAAATGTAGGGTGTCTCCAGAGGCTCCAATAGATTCAATGCATCGCCAGAACACTTCGTGACACGACTATCGTCAAACTTAAACCAGTCCGTTTCGTCATCGACCAAGGCGTAATAATGACCAAATTGAACGCCAGAACCTGAACAATGACTGCATGAATATTATAATAGTGGTTTGCTTCCAAAGAGTTTCTTGCTTCCGTCAGAGGTTGAGTCTTGTTTGAAGATCATCAGTGTTATTATTAGATTGACTGGTGCCTCAGCTATACTTGTTTCCTTATAACAATCAGTTAGTTTGGCGCATGTTTGGCAATACAGTCGATCATCTCCTATTGAAAATTCCATTTTCAGATGATTTAACAATAAGCTCTGCACGGACTGGTTATTAGTCATATTAGGAAAAGCTAGATCATGTTCCAGAAATTCACATAGGTTTTCGCTACCTCTTGAACATTTACTACAAAGTGAACAAGTGAGGATTTTCCCAGCAAAAGATTTACAAACACAAGATGAGATGGACTGTACTTTTATTATTTAATCCAGAGCGGTCAGGAGTATTGATTTTGCTATTGTTTTGCTCACGAAGAGTATTCAACAAGAACCCCAAGAATTCGGAACAATCCTCTTGTTGTCCTAAAGAGTATCTAGTGGACTTCAAAGACTCCAGGAAATCGGTTGGAGGGAAAGATGATACCTTCTTACGAAACTGCAGCTGCATGAACAGGTGTTTGACATAATTTTAATTTCATTTAATTATCATGACTTCCTGCTCATTTTAAGCAGTTAGGATTTATGTACTATTATATTTAGGAGCTTTGTCAATAAGAATTCTATTCTTCAGATAATAAAGCATGCTTTGATTTGATTTGATTTGATATATATTCAAGTTGAACCACAGAGAGCCTACAGTCAACTTGTATAAACAAAAAAACTATCAGATTTGTCATCCTTCCATGAATTCAAATTATGTACCTTCATTCATTTGGTCAAAAATAACATCAAACTTTCGAATCTGACTCTCAAAATCAATGGTGACCTACACAACCATTTGACAAGATATTCAGGAAATCTGGAATTAATGAAAATGAAAACAAATATTGGACAGAATTCGATTTATTATAAAGGTATCAATTTTCACAATGAGCTACCAAATGCTTCGAAAAATTCAATAAACAAGAATTCCGGATTATTTTGAAAAAATTTTTATTGTTTGTATAGATACATCATTTCATAAGTGCATTTATGTGTATGTTGATAGTCATATTCAAGCATATGCGAATATATGTGTGCATGTATATGTATGTTTGTATATATGTATATGTTTTTTTGGATGATGCAACTAATATTTCCTTTATTTTCAGTATTTTACTATTAAGGTAAGTAACAAAAAGGATTTGAAGCTCTGTAACTTCTATTTAATTATCAGCGAGCGCTTTTGACAGCTGGTCGTGCTGCCATCTTCTAGGTACTCTTCTATCTGCGGATAGAAGAATGTCTAGAAGATGACAGCACGACCAGCTGTCGAAAACGCTCGTAGATAATCAAATAGAAGTCATAGAGCTTCAAATCCTTTTTTTGTAACTTACATTAATAGTAAAATATGTATATTTATATTCATCTTTTTCTTGTGTTGCTCTGTTCGTACTTAGTTATGTTATAGTTAGTTTTTGAATTATCGTTTTTTCCCTGCTATAAACATTGTATGTTTTTTGAGAAAATAAATCATTATAATTATTTTTCCCTAAAAAATTAAAAGAAAAATACTGATTTCGAATTGAAACGAATCCTGAGAATTATTAGAAAACGCCTATTTGATAGTTTATCAGCAATATTTTTTAACATTGACTTTATTTTCTAGTCCATAATGAAGAATGAAGCTCCTAAAAAGGAAATCAATAGGGTGTTCTTGAAGACAATACCATTTGAGAACTGATTTATAAACCATGAGGGAACCAGGTTGCGGAAGGATTACTCAGATTTTTTGAACATGGGGTTGTTCTTTTTTCCTTTTGTGCCATTATTTGCAAAATGAGAGCTAATTCAAGGACCCTGAATAAAATTAAAAAATTCCATTTAAAGTTTGTGACAAATCCTGTAGTCTCGTTCATCTGGACATATTTAATTTTAAAGCCGTCAACAAGATTGTAAATGGATCTCAAAGCAATTAGTTGCTAACAAGTGCTGCAGAAAGAACAGATTAACTGTTGGGTATAATCATGTAGCAAGCATATTACTTTCAACTTCAGCAAAGTGTTCTATATCTAATTTCGAATCACAGGAACAACGGTTCTTAGGAAGGTGTAGCCTGACTGAAAATTTAATTTGAAATGAAGGTGAAAACTAATTGAGAATTTTGTCGAACTCAGAGAGATTCGTATCACATGAAGTAGAATTGAGTGATACAAAGTGTGACCCAATTGAAATGGAAGCGCCCTTGTAAAACATATATGTTTCAACCGATTGTAAATGTTTTCTTTCAAACAACAAGCCAGTAAAAACAAAATTTCATGAATGAGTTTTCGTTAGCATCATTTTCATTTGGCAAACTAATTAATAGTTGAGTTTGACATAGTTTTCTATTGAAACCCATTGATGTCATCAGCAAAGAAATATACTGACCTATTGGACTTTTCTAATAAACGAAAAATGAGAATTATACTTCTTAAGTGTATACTTCATTCCACGTTTTTCCAACAAAAGTGATAACTGTGTCAGTAGTGAATGAAGTTATTTCACCATTGAAATTATAAATTTGGAAGATCTTGTTCTAATATAGGGGAAATAAGATGGGTCCCAATACAGTTCCCTGGGGTCGCTGAGAGAGAATCGTTCATCTTAACAGTTTATGTTCTATTTGTCCTAGATGTTGAAGAGGTATATTATGATCGACAGTATCAAATGCCTTGGCCAAATCCAAAAAGACAGATTTTGGAAACAGTTGTTGATCTGTTTAAAAAAAAATCTGTTTGAAATCTGTTTTTCCGTTAATCAGCTGTCGCCCCCATACGAACGACAACTCTCAGAAGTTGAGAAACTTGTGCGAGCTAAGGACTAACGAGGTCTTACCTTTTATCGTGTGATTCCTAACATTTGGTTAACAATCTCAAAAACTGCGTTTTTGATTGATCTAATTTACACAAAGTCATATTGTAATTGAGAAAAAATATTGCATATCATTGTAAAATAGTATAACTCTATTTTCTAACCATTTTTGAATATTTTAAAAGTGTAATCAATCTGAGTTATGGGTCAAAAGTTTGATATTAATTTTGCATAACCTGATGGCTTAAAAATCGGTATTGTCATTGAGTCTATGAAAGTTTAAGGTATTTGTTTTAAATAAAATGTCTAAAATCACCATATTTATGAATTATGTATATGTTCCCTTTGAAGTGATATTGCATTGTATTTTTTTTTGTCTTCCTGTTTCACCAGAATAAACCACTTGTTCAATTGAGTTTTGTAACTTTTGTAACAACAATGAAACACATTGTTGAATTGTTTGATGTACAAATTCCAATTGATGAAACTACTATGTATTGAAAAGCATCTAGTGAATAATTTTTGAAGAGAATTGTGTAATTATTATTAATTTTCATCAAGTAACAGATCACAATATGAAATGAATGGAAAATTCGGCATCCGTCCAAGTTGATCCATGACCCAATTAGAAAATGTAAATTCTGAGAAACCTTTCGTATTATCCCACCTTTCCAGAGGGAAATTATTTCGAAAGTTGTTGTCCAATACACCAGTGAAGAGTTCAACTGGATTTTCAGTAAACTGAACAATATGGAAGTTGATGATCTGGAAACTTTCCGTACTTTGCAACTCTTTCGATGAGAAAATAAATGTAACTGTAAGTTTCGGATTCATGGCATATTCATGAGACTTCTGTGGTGATGAAATTCTGAAAATTATGAAAGTTACGAAATAATGAAACTAGCCCTGAAATATTCGTAATTTAGTATACCTACCATTAAAAAAGGGCTTTTCATGATGAGCCTTAATTAGCCGTTTATGACAAACTATTTAACGGATCAACCTGAAAATTTCACAGTATGCATAAATCAATATGACCTACACGCCTAAAATATTTCAGACGAAGCGGCATTGTCGCTTCTACTATAAAGTAGCGGCTTCTTTGATTTTTCAAATGGAACACCCCGTATATAATATCATATTATGATTCATTATCACTTTGTCAACAAATTCATATACTGTTATCGAATGAAACTTCTCTTCAAACAATAGTTTTATTAACGCTGAAACACGAACTGATAATAATAAACCCATTATGCATTTCTGCATAAATTACTTAACAATAATATTGACAGTACGGTTCTTAGTACCAAGAAGTGAAGGTCGACACAATCTGAAATTCTGTTGCGAAGCATCACGCGCAAATGTTATGCTACGATCACCATTGAATTTTATGTGCAGTAGCTTCAATAAAATCTGTGAACACTGCGATATTCAATTCGACTCTCTGAACGCCTTGGTATCATGTATCCACAATCACTTTTAATAGTACTATATATAAAATTAGTGTTAGTACTGCTACATTGCATGATTTGTAACTTTTTGTGTTATATACTCAATTTCTCATTCCTCTTTTGAAATTCTACTTATACGAATATTTTATGTATACTTTGTTTTAGCAGTTACTTTCATATATCATTTCTATATACCATTATTTTTAATATTTATTTCATATATACTTTGTAATAATAGCATTTCCTGTAACTGGGTACTTCTGTTGGATACAAATCGCTATTTTTATAAAGGAGAGTTTTCACCTGAATTGGTTTTTCTAAATGGGGTTGCAAAGTGATCATGGTTTCAAGTCTCTGCAAGGTGTATTCAATGAAATTTTTGTTATCAACTTTGGGCAATCAACACGGCTATTGAATATATTGTTACACCTGATGCAACCACAAAAGGTTCTGACTGGTAACCATTAACATCCTCAACTTGGTGCATTCCTGAAATATCAGAAATAATTCACACCAGAAGATGCTGATCTATGCCGATATCCGCAAGGCTTTCAATGATCAAGTTATGACTTATTTTGTCGACAGCATTGCTGAATTCCATACAAATCACATCCACTTGCATCTGACCCTCCATACTCTGTACTACATAATCTGTAAACTCTGTTAAATTAGTATCAATGGATCTACAGAAGAAAAACCATGTTGTTGTACTATTATTTCATTTTGTATATGACCTAAAATAATTCCATGCAATATTTTTTCAACCAATTTACCGGGAATGCATAGTTTGCTAACAGTATAATTTCCAATGTTACGCTTATCATCATCACCTTTGAGGAGTGGTATGACGATAGATGATTTCCACTTACTGGGAAATATTCCTGTCCGTAGGGATACATTATAAATGTGAAAAAGGGATGGTATCAAATTATCTTCACATTTTGTTATAAATAGCCCTGATATGCCGTTCGTTATTAATAGATATAAGGTCAAATAAAACAAAGATTACCAATTTTAGTTGAGGAAAATATGTAAAAAACGATGATTAGAAGTCTATTTCATAGTTTTCCCACATTTTCATTATCTAAAGTTGATAGAAGTGTGTTTTTGAAATACGTTAGATTCTTTTAGCATCATTGATGATTGAATGGAGGCTTTTCATTGGAATGAAATGACGAACTCACCTGATAGGGGACACTGATGACTCCGAGCCAGAGATAGAATCTGAACAAAGCTTTATCTGTTGGACTCGGTATCATCGGTAACAGCAGAAAATGTAGCCCGAAAAGCGGTATCAGTATGAGAGCAGCTCTAACTGCTCTTCTGATCCCCAGGGGAGCCGGATTCGGAGAGTTTGGATGCATGATGGTCAGTATTACCCACAGAACGTAGATGAGGAATACTGAAAATCGAAACGGAATTCAATTATAAACTGAACCTTAAAAATATTCGTGAACGATGGAGAATTGATACCTTGGAAGGTTGTTGGGTTTCTTACCTGTACACAGCAACAGAGTAATCAGCACTGGAACACCAAGAAACCAAGTACTGAAGGAAGACTCATGTAACCAACACCTGAAAAAAATAGTTGGATTCAAAATATTAACATATAATTCGGAACGAGAGCTTCATCTTGAGAGGTGATGAAACAAAATAATTAACAATTCTATAATCACTGTGCTCTAGATAAAAATATTCAAGGGTTATAATATACAGGGTGTTTGGAGTAGGTGCTACAGACCAAAATTCCACTTTTTTAAAATAGAACGCCCTGTATATCATTACATATTCAGATGCTACGTTAAATTCTGATATCATTTCATGTTTGGTTTTTGAAATTCAGTTACGGCGTTGTTGAGTTATTGCNTCAACAACGCCGTAACCGAATTTCAAAAACCAAACATGAAATGATATCAGAATTTAACGTAGCATCTGAATATGTAATGATATATAGGGCGTTCTATTATAAAAAATGGAATTTTGGTCTGTAGCACCTACACCAAACACCCTGTATATTTAAAAATTATATCAAAATATAGCTCTCATGAACTCCTAAAACTTTTGTATGAAACATTTTCATGTATCTCCTTCAACAAACCAGATATTGCCTGTCACATAAAATGTGGGACACCCGGTATAGTTCAATTATGCCTGTTATTTGTAATGGAGGAGAATTTAGAACAGGAAAACTCTTCAGATCAGCCCGATGAGTTACTGTGTAAATTCAGAAGTTTTTTTCCCGAATGAAATGTGTTTTATTCATGAGTTATTTGAAGTATTCGTCAAACAAAACTAGAGCTAAGAATTTACACACAAGCGGATGGTTCGTTTTCAACAACAGCCATAAAAAAATCTACTGGCTGGACAATTTGCATTCCGCTACACTTGCAGGGAAGTCTTCAACCTTCTTTTTATTGTATATCAACGACTTATTGGAAAAAACGAAGAATCCAATATATTGCTTTGCTGACGATAGCACAATTGTCTTGTTATTTCATTTGGATTCCAGGACATCGGTTAGGGAGGCACATCTTCACCGGCAGCAGGAGGTTGCATATCTTAATGAGAATCTAGAAGTGATTTCCAATTGGGGTGAAATTAATTAGGTTCAATTCAATGCCAAAAAACCCAGGCATGGGTTTTCGCCAAAAAGATTAATGTCTCTGAACCTGATATAGTAATGTCAGGACAGACAGTTCCGCTTTCTGTTTCGATAGGTTTGTTGGGAGTTAAGATGCCCACCAATATGTCTTGGCACACTCCGGTCGCTGGAATACCCTGAAGATGCTGGATTTCATCCAGAAAGGAGCCATCCGCCTGATTGGAGACGAGAACATGCAACCTCGGCAGTCTGGAACATCGAAGAAAGCTTGGAGATTTGTCTCTCATTAGATGAACAAAGAGATTTTCATAACACCGGAAATTAAACTAACAGAACAAAGATATAACGGTTAGAAACGGTCGAAATCCCACGCAAACCGATCGAAAACACATGAAAAACAATCGAAGACGCACGCGTTCGCGTTTGTTTCGACCGTTTTCGATCGTTTTGCGTGCGTCTTCAATTGTTTTGCGTGTGATTTCGACAGTTTTCGACCGTTATACCTTGCTTCTGTCAGTTGAATTTCCGATGTAATGAAAATATCTTTGTTCATCTACTGCTCTCCTTTATAGATATTTTCACAGGGAGTGTTCAAGTGACTTGATTCCACCAATTAATTCCACCAACAGCGGTACATATCAGAAATACGACGCACTGTGGCTGCTCATCGTTTTGAGGTTCAACTTAGTACACCCCGAACTTCACTGCTTAAGAACTCTTTCATTTAGAGAGCTGCGTTGATGTGGAATAAACTTCCTGGGAACGTTGTTCCAAATGGATGTAATCTTCAGCGGTTCAAATTGAATGTGAATTGCTACTTTCCCAAAGGCACCGCTCTTGGAGCGCCTCAAAGATTCTCTTGTAGTGCTTGTGTTTTTTTCTTGAAAAGAAAACACAGATACTCATCTTAATGTTTCGGAGGCTAAACTTCGCCTACGTCTGCAGAATTGGAAAATCTAATGATATTTACAGTTTTTAATTCATTCACTTTATTTCAAAATGTCCGCGACAGATGTTGACGAGATTTTGAGATATGAAATACATATGATAATGTTGTTGTTTGACTTTTGAAACATGTGATGTAGTACCTACATTGAGTTTTTTCAAAATTAGTCTGTTGCAATTTCGCCAGTACCCAGAACCAGTAGATCTAACCCCACTTCACCGAGACGCTATTACACCAGCCAGAAATCCAGCCAGAGTACACAGTCACGTGGTGTGAGAGGCGAGAGAGAGAGATGGAGATGGCAACGAACTGATCCGTTTCAAAGATAACGAACGTAGCCAAGCAGCCAGTGACGTCAATACACCAGTCAGGCAGCCTCTCAGCTCGCCCACCAGAGTGCACCAAATTATCACGTGGTGTCCTGTCACCCAGCTAGCTGAGCGGTGAACCAATCAGAGTGTACCAAATTGTCATGTAGCGGTCTAAAATTGTCAAGCAGCTCTCCAGCTAATCAGAGTGCACGCTTCTGCATCTCAGAACATCGTGGCGGGAGATTTGAATTTTCTGTGGACAACCAGGCGTATCCCACTATAAGATGGTTAGCCAAGATTTGAAAGGTGAAAATACCAGAAAAAAGATCTATGAGACAGGTTCATTTAACTTGGTTGCAGATCTGTTCGATTGCTGCACAATCCTTAATGAGTTTCATAGCTTTAAATGTTTCCGTCGTTTTCGTGCATTGAGCAAAATAATCAGTACTCAAAATAAGGTTTCAAGATATTAAAACTTAATTGAAAATTTATATCGGCACATTCAAACTCAGCAATAATAGTGGAAACTACGAACGAGACGAGCACTTCGCCTTTGATGATGTCTACCGCATAAAAATGTGCAGACTGCGACCAGAAAGCCCGTATAATAGCTTTGCTATAGTTACTTCAAGCCGAAAAAGTTTACACTCTTTGATCAAAGTTAAAAGTTAAATTATATGTTTTGAGAATTTTTTATGGTATAGTTCAGTTTAAAAATCAAGAGCCTACGTCCAACTAAAATCAAATGCGATAATTTCCTACTCAGTCAAACCTTCAGAAATGTTGTCAATCAGCACATCGTGGATACGTATATCACCGCTTTCAAAACGAATATTCATCCAGATAGTAATCATTCCATCCCCCTAGCACTTGATCATCTGGGGATATAATCACGTTTTAACGTTTATGGCATATTTGAGAGTGACATCCATTATTTATGACTCTATTTATAAACGACCGACTTGCTCTAGATACTCTCCACCAAAGTGGCGACAAAATATATACGGATAAACATTTCGGAAGGAAATTATACTTGCTTCCCCCAATCCCTTCCATAATTGGAAATATAATTTGTCTTCAACATTTCTGACACCCTCGGGAGTATTTCGACAACGTTTGATAGATGGTCAATCCATCATCATTAGAAATTAGCTCACTCAGACATTTCTCATTAGCAAGCAGAAAATGGATGCATAAACATTTCAGAGGTCTTGGTAAATGCCTACGAGTTTTGGTTCAAATAGATTTTTTATTCAAAACATTACAATCATTTATAATTTAAACTTTTATGGCCGTTCAGGAAAATCTACTGCGGCAGATGAACCGCCACCAGCATATGCAGGAATAACTTTAGTGAAGAATCCTGCACTGACAGCTGACGGATATAATCTAATGCCCTTCGTGGTATTAGCCAGGGGAGTAGTTGTTTTCCAATAGGCATCAGTTCATTAACCTACAGTGTAGGTTAATAATACCGTGATACTTTTCAAACAACTACCGCCATCTCTAGGTCAGGCCGAGTACTTCTGTCTAAAGACTAATTCTCCAAAGTCCGAGTTGACTGTTTGCAAAGATTCCTGATTTGAATATTACTGGAGTTTTTTCCCAACACCAAATCGTTATTTTCACATCGACACGTGTTTCGATCACCAAGTGATCATCTTCAAGAGGAAGATAAAAAATAAGATAAAGAGATAAAAGTTTCTATCTTCCTCTTGAAGATGATCACTTGGTGATCGAAACACATGTCGAGGTGTTAAAAATAACGATTTGGTGTTGGGAAAAAACTCCCGTAATATTCGTTACTACACCAATGGTTCCAAACAGTGCATCATAAATTCCTGATTTGAGTAGAAGATTCATCAGTACATCATAAAAATCTTTTTCAAACAATTTTGTACAGCCTTCCAATTCATCAGATAATAAAAAAAATCTGAAAAAGCATTAGTCAAATCTACTTTATTCTAGTTCGGGTGAAATATATAAATTTTTCTCTCATGATTTTCATAAATTGTTTCAAGTGGAAAGTATATATTAGAATGGAAAACTTTTTTGAATGAACTCCATTGGAATATGAACATAAAATTGCATAAGAAGCAACTTTTTAAATCACTCATTGGAACATTTGAATGTTTTTATGAAAACATGTCGGTTTTGACACATACAGGGTGTTGATTAAGTATGTTCCATAAATTTAACAGACGATTCGTTGATATAAACATGGGTCCGCAAATCATTCGTTCTCAAGATGCAGGGTGTTAAAATAAAAATAAAGTTATTCGTAAATATCTGGAATATTCTTTACTTAATTTTGTTGTAATTCAGCAATGGTTTTTATAACATTGAGGAGCTAATTTAGCCCGAGCGTGATTCAATTTATTAAGTCCAGTGGCGTCTCGAGCGGGATTTGAACGAATATTTTTGACTTAAAAATATACGCCACTGACTTTTTTGTCATTTTCATTATTTCATTGGATTAAGCAATTAGAAATACAACTGTTTTGTTTCTTGAATTTTTTTCGTTTCTTGCTTAGTTTTTTAAAAAAAAAGTCGACCTAATTGCATATTCCTGGACCTCACAAGGAATAATATGGGGAATTAAATGTTTTTTTTGGAAATCATTATTTTTACAATTTTTCATTACTAATTATGTAACAATAACAACAAATATTAAATAATATGCACGAAAGTCAGTGGCATACATTTTCAAGTCAAAAATATTCGTTCAAATCCCGCTCAAGACGCCACTGGACTTAATAAATTGAATCACGTTCGGGCTAAATTAGCTTCTTGATGTTATAAATACTATTGCCAAATTACAACAAAATTAGGTAAAGGATATTTAAGATATTTACGAATAACTTTTTTTATTTTTATTTTAACACCCCGTATCTTGAGAACGAAGGATTTCCGGACCCATGTTTATATGAACATTTCGTCTTAAAATTACCTGAATAAATCGTCTGTTAAATTTACGATGAGTGTTCGAACTATTGGTCTAATTCAAAACAAAAAGCTAACAAAGAAGTCTCATATGTTGCTGATTTTGATGTCATATAAGATTCTACTTCTTCGCCTTCAAAAATACTCACATGAAGGTGTCTTCTGTAACGAACAGCCTGACGGCACTATGTTGTGCAACAATGTAAACGGGAATTCCCCATCCAATAGCGAAGAACCACTTCATGGTTCTTTCCTCTCTAACAAAAACCACGATGAGAGCCAAATGGAGATGAAGTCCTTCGCACAACATCCACATGTAATTTGCCACCATGAAGTATTCTGCCATGACGTGAATCACTTGGCACCAAATCTAGAATTGAAGCAATGGGTAAAGTTAAATAATATAATTATGCGCAAGGGCGTCTTTGAAGAGTAGGAGTAGTATAGCCATAGGAGTTCTAGACCAGAATCCCATGCTTTTTCTTATGGCGCTTCATTCTGGTTACGTTACGACCTTCGACCTTCAAAGCCCACTTTAAGGTCAAGCGTCATTGTTAAGTGATTCAGAGAGAGAGAGAGACGTTAGTGACTGGCAAAGATGTGTGACGTAGTCACCCCCACTCCTCCACTTTTGCCGTCATTCACTCGACCAATCAGAAGCTACCGCGCATACATCGGGAAATTCAAATTGTTCTCACTTCAACGACACAGCCCACCTATCCAAGCTCACCCGCCACGTGGTCCTAGTGATCATCGGCGGCTGGAAATTTCAGGGAAATTAAATTTTAAAAAATTATCCGTTAGAGAATTGAAGCCCGGTCGTCGGCGCGGTAGGCTTTTTTCCCAATCCCATGTTTTTTTTATGAAAAATTTTGTAATTTGAAATAGTTGCTGTTGTTATGTTCTCATATATGTAATTTAAAGAGGGGCTGCCCTCCCCTAGAACCAAAGCTGCGGACGTCCATACTGTTTTCACTCCTCGTAAGTGCCAAAAAGAAAACAAATTTGACGATTTTGGTGATTTATTCAATTCCGTTCGCGAAAGAAAATACTGATGTTTCCGAAACCTCTCCAATTTTCTCAACTTCACTTGTTTAGGAATTCCGTTGTTTTTCGAGTGCCCCACAAATCAGATTGTTCGAGGAGACTCGTTTCGTCTCTTGCACCATGCTTGATTTCGTTTTTTCCATCGTCTGGAGATTAAAAAACAACGTCGACGTTTGCTCTTCTTGAGAAGTTTTTTTTGCTTTCTACTTTGGAATCCGTAATCAAGTGTCCCGAATATTCCAGATTTTCCACGGCGTCTCATGAAAATAAGTTCCGATGGTGTTTACTTTAGAACCTCTTGAATAAATTGTTCCTTTATTATCTGAAGGGAATATTTTCGAAGTTAAATTGAAAGAAAGCTTTCAGAATATCGAGTAGGGCGAAAGTGAATCTTTTAACAATCACAATCTCATGTCTCGATTTGTTTGACAATTATCAACAGCATTCATTCTTAGCAACATTGTAGATCCGGAAATATTCTTTGGGCTTTCAAATTGTGACATATTTATAGGGGTCTATAGCATATTTCCTCAAGCAACGAAGTAATAAATCATTTTCAAGTCGCTGTTTCATAGGCGCACATAAATGAGTCGGTTGAAGAGTTGAAAATATATTAATTTTGAACATTGTTGTATAATTTGATACTCGTATAACAAATGTTGAAATACTTTTTAATTTTTGTTTATATAGTTCAAATTGTTTATACTTTTGAATTCCGATTAAAATTTTCGATACATTCTATGAAAGCGGTTCAACACCTGAAGAATAATGCGTCTTATCCAGTGTTGTTATCAGTTAATTATAATCAGTGTGTGATTATAAATGGCTATTTAAGTTTCCTCTCCAGTGAAAAGAATAAGCAATTGTACTATTTCTGCTAACGAAAAGAGTATTATTCTCAAAATACAGGGTGTTTATTAAACATGCGGCAAAAATAAGGGACTATTCCTTGGACTATTCTAAGGATATGTTATCCTTTGATGATTTTTGATAGGGCTATATCCATATCTGTTCTTCAGATTCTTGGAGTAATCATTTCATTGCCCAGACTTTCATTGATATTACAGAGACTGGTCTATTGATTTCCCCATGATCCTCTTCTTGGTAGTTGTATTCGTAGTTGAGATACTGATCCATGGTAGTTCTGTGTCATTATAGTTCCAAAAATTGAAGTTATCATTGTAGCCCATATTTTCGGACACGATGCAATTTGATTATGAATATGATGGGAGCTTCATTGTATCTCCAATTTACGATAGGTCTTCACATTTTGTACAACCGATTTCCACATTGAAAGTTCAGATGTTGACGTCTTTGGAGTTGGAGAATTCAAGTACTAAACTAAAACTAAAATTCAATAGAGCCTGGTAAACGATGAATAATAATAATATCGATTACTGAATAAGAAATTGAGATTGTTCAAGGGCGTTCAATATACGCTGTTGTAGCGAACATTTCATATCTATTCTGTATCTGTATCTGTATCTGTAGAGTAGGGAGGGTGAGTGTAAGCCCACGCACTTAGGCCACATGTGACCCATTGTACATCCTCCCGAGGAGTTGTCCTCCTAGGTCGTCGTCCATCCTGTCCTTTCCAGGAAGGTGGACAGGTCGCTGGGAGACATCTCCTTTATATCGGCAGGTGTAGGCCAAGACTCGCCGAACACACACTCTCTTATTGACGATAACTCCGGGCACTCGCACAGGACATGCCTGACAGTCTCATCTTCCTGTTCACACATCCTGCATAGAGGTGTGTCCACTAGCCCCATATTATGTAGGTGTTTCCTTAGCTGACAGTGGCCAGTCAGAAATCCTACTGTAAGGCGTAGATTTTTCCTGGTCATCGCCAGATATTTCTTCGGCGCCAGCTTCCCAGGGTCGCCCAAGGTGATCCTGGCAAGATTACATCCTTTGATTTCATCCCATCTCTTTAAAGATTGAGCATGGGTGTAACATTTGACTAGTTCCGCAATTGTCGAAATCATCAGGCCGTGGGTGCCACTTGGTCCTAAAATTCTTAGTCCAGCCGCTTCCTTGGCTAAAGAGTCGGAAATGCGATTACCTTTACTCCTATCATGCCCTTTAACCCACCTCAGGATAATGTTATTCTCTACCAAGGCTATGGCTAAATCTTGGTGGCACTCTAGTACTAGCCCTGAAGTAACACGTTGTCTGTTCAAGGCTAATAGGGCCTATTATGGTTATTTCCCTTGTGGCGATTGAGATACCAGTCAGTTCTGTTTGGACCACGCTGGTATTTCTTCCCATTTTCCACTTAATCCTTAGGCTCAGTGAACTGGAGTACACTCCACATCCTGAGCCTGAGCCACTAACAGTTACGGCGGGAAAGATACGTCTGTTCCATTCTCATTTGAACTCATCTGTTTTGTATCACACTGTATGTATTTATATTTTCTACTCACCGGGTTGGTTTGCGTCACTTCTGGATGCGGAATAACCAGTTTATACCACAATATCCAGGTTATGTTATTCAGGATAAACGAAATGAACAGCTGCGTATGAATTCGGATCCTGGTGCATCTCAACGACCTAGAAATGAATGTTGTATGAAATTATTTTCATAGCGCTCTCGGTTTATCTGACACAGCGGGATATCAAGAGTTTGCAGGCTATTGGAGAGTCGAGAAAAATAGGAAAAGCGTTGAAGAGGAAAACACATTGCCCATGGACAGGGTGACCTATTCTTTTGATAAATCTCAGTGTTTTTGACGAACTCGAATACCGTCAAAGTTGACAAAAACGGATGACTGACTATTTCAGTCAATGTAGCGCAGAAATTTATTACTGAACAAAAAAGTTAAAAAAGAAATGCGACTGTTATTTCGCTGTTACGGAATGTGGAACTCACCAATCAATTCAATGCAGACCATGCACCATGCAAACTATTCGGTTTCTTTAAGCAGCTGGGTTTATTTGTCCGAGTGTAAATAGGTGTGAGCCACAATGAACCCTTGCGGGTTGTGGTGGAGGGTCGATTAGACCCACTCACTTTGGATCTAACCTAACCTAACCCCTATATAGGAAAAACGCCACTCGAAAATCATGAATAGGAATATAATTGAAATAATTTTCATTCTGTTCGATCAAGTAGAAGATATTTGTTGTATAATGAATGCGTAACACATGTTTCCTTGTTCGGCAAGCTCTAACAAGTATTCAAAATTTCTCCATACAGTAAGAGAGGTTTTGTTCAAAGCGGTTTGAGATTTTTTGTTCTACAACAGATGATTCTGAATCATTTTTTTCTCTTGTTAGATGTCATTGAAGATACTCTTTCCCCACTCATAGTGAATATTGAAGTACTGGACGATTTTAGAGAAGATTTGCCTAGTTCTTCAAACAATATGTCTACATATACAGGGCTATTCAAATTCGTTTCTGTACATGGGGATCTCGTAAACGATAAGAGATAGAGTGTTGGTTAAATTATGGCAAAGTTGCGTATTTTAGAGACCTATTCAATGTTGTAAAGACATCGAATATAGCTCTTTTGGTTCTGGAGATATACAGGAAATACAAAAAAATCCCAAATTATATTTTTGTGCATAGCTTCTTTATTCGCAGACATATTGAAAATCTGTCCACATTTTGCTATTGACACTTGATGTGGGCTCTCAGAATATATCCATGAATCTTTTATACAGGGTGTCATAAAAAATTCATGGATATATTCTGATAGCCCACATCAAGTGCCAATAGCAAAATGTGGACAGATTTTCAATATGTTTGCGAATAAAGAAAATATAGGCAAAAAACAATTTGGGATTTTTTGGTTTCTCCTGTATATCTTCATAACAGAAACAGCTATATTTGATTTGTTCCCATCATTGAATAGGTCTCTAAAATACTTAACTTTGCCACAATTTAACCGACACTCTATCTCTTATTGTTTACGAGATCCCCATGTACAGAAACGAATTTGAATAGCCCTGTATATACTTTGGAGAATTATGTGTGGTCCACCAGTGAAACTCGAAAATTTCCTCAATCAATTCATTGGAAACTGAAACCTTTCTTTCAATAAAAAGAGCATTATTTCTTGTCATTGTACAATGTTATTTGGGCCGAATTCAATGAAAATTAAATATATTTTTTAAAGACATTTAAATAAAAAAATAACACAACATATCTCGAGTATTATAAATCTAGATCCATAGTGTTAGAACTTTTGAAATATTAGGATTTATGTAGAATTTAGAAAAAATAATCCTCAGCTCTGTAAACAATTTCCATGAAAAAATCATATCGCAAGAATTTCATAATGAACATGAATGGTGAGGATTAATTTTGGAAGTGTGAAAAATCCTTTGAACGTCAAATCGCTCTCACCTGAATCTCACAAATATGGCTAACGACACACTCAAAGCTACTAATGAAATCGAGTATCCGATGACGTGTAGCTTGTTGATCATGGCGTAAAACTGGAAAAAAACAGCAAATGAATTCAAAATCAAACTTAATTTCTGTTGGTATATATTCTAGTGGTTATCGTCACCTCATATTCCTCTATATTGACGCATCCGCTGTAGTTTGCCCATTGTTTGCCTTCTATTTGGAACCATGTGCCATTTTCCAAACACTCCTTGTAGGCCAATTTGGAAGAGTCAAACCCCAGTTGGTTGATTCTTGGGCAACTGTGGCTGGCTTTGGTTCCTGGAGCTGTTTCGGGCCAGCATATCTCAGAGTGCAAGTAAAGGTATAGAAGTGTATCGAAAACTTCTGGACAGTAACCTGGAAATAAGTAAAACTACTGGTATGACACATATGATATGAAACTCAAACCTTCCTACAAAATCTTCTACAAATCTCTCACCAGGAAGAGGTGAAGGAAACCCTACAGTCAATATACATGGTTATGAATGGAATGGAACCAACACCAACATACTCTGGTGAATCCACTAATAACACCGCTCGTTTTTTGAAAAAGAAAGACTGGAACCTAGCTCACAGAAAAACTTATAATCCAAGCAAATTAATCAAAAACTGTATAGACAAATCTTCAATGTCTGGTAGGTCAGGTTGACTCGTGTTCCTTGTTCAAAACTTTATGTTGGTCAAACGGGGAAAACCTTTTTCCAAAGAATAAAAGAACACAGGGCCAATTTCACAATTGCAAACAACGTTTTGGCAGAGGTGTATGACTTCAACAACGACTAATAGACTGATAGATTTGCGAATTGGAAAAATTCACTGAATTACATGATGAATATGTTTTTTTATGTGGAAATTGGTAGTCATTGAAAAAAAAATTAAAAAAACTTTTTTCAGAACTTTGAAGAACAATAGAATTCATGATAAAAAAACGGTTCCTTAATTTTAATATTTAGTCACAAAAAACGATTGTTAATTAACAAACGCATTTTTTGCAGCAAAGACATTTTTTAAGGAACCATTTTTTTTCTAAAAATGATGTTTTATTTCAATTAACATAATGCAAAAAAAAAATTCGAATTTCTTAAAAACAATGTATTTGTTTATAATCAATTCATTAATAATAGCAGTAAAAAATAAAGAAATATTGAGGTAGTTTTCAACCATGAGACATTGAAACAATAAAAAAAATATGTATTTTTTTTTAATTTATAATTTTCAATTGGTAATAAAAAAGTAGAAAATGAATTTTTTTTAATTTTGGCAACGGAAATCTATTTTTT